TCTCTTAGCAATGTGCTCAGGCCAGTTAGTGTGAAAGAGAAAGCAGGATAGAGTTTTAATGTCAACTGGGAATAAATTCTCCATTTTTTTCTAGGAATTCTAACCCTTGCCTTAATGTTAACGACACATCTCACTTTTTAAAAACAAAATGCTGAAACTTTGAGGAAGAACTCGTGATGCTTCAATTACTGGGATAATCAAAATGAGTCCAACGTTTATCTTGATAGCCAGTAAATTTGCAAAGAGGGAAGAAATATTTGTATAACTGTATATATGAAAACACCTAGTCTCACTTTGAAATTTATAATACCTACATCGAATTCTGCATTTCATTTTGAGTGATGTAGACAGCAAAAATCATCACATTTAAACTCCTCACAGAAATCTTTTTCTTCTATTCAAGAAAACCAATTCCACTAATGGGAAACTTAACAAAGGAAATTCTCTTTGGGGGACTCATTCAACTGAGGATTTCTCTTGAGGATATAGTTTGGAAAAGTAGTTAAAGAGGTCACAGGTGTGCTTTTTATCCGTAGGTCATCAGTTTCTATCTGAATTACAGTTCACGGGTGAAGTTAACACTTTGGTGAAATAAATAATGCCAATTCAGTTTCTTATAAACATCTACATCATCAAAACCCATACTTACTGCACTGTTCCTGGCACTATCAGTGAAGTAACCAGAGATGAAATGATCACTTGCACTTAGCTTTAGATACAGCACCTTCATAAGAGGACCCTATGCAGACAGGTTAGTACGGCTATGCTAAATCTGAACACGAGATTCCATGGGCTTACGTGTTTTAACTTTCTCTTCCCATCCTAAGTCACTTTCATCGGTAATTTTTTGTCAGCTTTGCCAAAAATAAAGGGAATCATAGTGTTCTGTGAGCAAACTTCATACTACCATCCCCAACACACAGGTCCACGGACAAGTTACGAAGTGGAAGTGTTATCGGTGGTTCATCATTCATTTACTTTCCCAGTATTTCTTAAGGTGTGGTTCACAGATCCCGGGAGATTCTGACCCATGTTTAAGATTGGGTCCCACTGCTTTAAGCAAATGTGGATTCCTGATCTTCATAGCAAACAAGAAACTTATTCCACCAGGAAGAAAAAACACAAGATTAATCTGCTTTATGAAAAATATGTGGTAACGTTTCCCCCCCATGTTGGATTTCTCTCTCACACACTATATGCTCACGGGTTACTTGTATCAATGAGTGTTTTCAAGGAAAAAGAATTATAGTGCACAAAACATGAAAAAAAGAGAAAACCAGTGTCAAGATACTATAATGCATTCCAAAGTAGCTATGATTTGTGGCCCTGCTTCTAATTAAAAGTAATCATCATGAAAACCGCAATTATTTCCCCCGGAAGAATGATTGGTACTATATACTATATGAAGATAAAATGAAAACTAAGGGCTGAGAAAGTTACAAACATCTGTGTATCTTCTTTCCCCTGGAGGGTGCAGGGACTGGGAGGGAGCATACAGCAAGCCATGGAGAAGCTCCTTGGGATGTCACGGTGTTCAGGACTGTGGGAAACTTCCCCTCTGAAGGAGTTCTGAATGCTTTGTTGCACATTCCCAGAATGATAGATGTGGGCCTTCTTCTGTGCCCCAAACTGAGCTTATTTTCATTTACTGTCTTTTAAGCTACAGAAAATGTGTTCACTGAATGATCCTATGAAAGGCAGTGGAGTTCAGGTACCTTATAGAATCATAAAAATAGAAGTGAACTGAATTTTCTCTAGTTTATTCCTGGA